GTACATCCTAGTTTCTATCTTCATATTTCTTCTGCCTACAGGATTTACATTAATATATCTTGTAGTACAGGTCTGTGGGCAGTGAATTCTCTTAAATTTGTGTTTGTTTGAAAATGAGTTTATTTGCCTTCATTTTGAAAGACATTTTTGTTGAATATAAAATCTGAGTTGAAAGTTTTTTTTCGTAGTATTTTAAAGAAGTATTTTTGTTTCTCACTAAAAAAATGAGAAACAAAGAGTTTCCAGTGGAAAAAGAAATATAATATTGCCCCTAGAAACAATGAAAGCAAGCCAGAAAAATATGGCCAAAACAAATGACACTTATAATCTAATATTTCAAAATTGACTGAAAGAAATAAAAACAATAATAAAAGAACTGAAAGAAAAAAATTCTCAATTAGACAGTGCCTGCTCCATTGTCATTTGCCTAATATAGTTTCTAATGAGAAGTCTGTTTCAGTTTTTATCTTTATTCCTCTGTGTTTAGTGTGTCTGTCTAGCACTGCCTTCAAGGTTTTCTTTTTATTTTTGGTTTTAGCAGTTTAAGTGCATCGTACGTGTTACAGATATTTTCTTGTTTTTGAAAACCCTATTTAGGGGTTTCTGAGTTTTTTTAAATCTGTGATTTGATGTCTTTGTTATTTTAAAAATGATTTCAGTTACTGTCTCTATGTATTTGTTTCTAACACTTTCTGTCTTCTATGGCTTCAATTACATGTATGTCAGAACATTTCACATATGTCACAGTCTGGGATGCTCTGTTCTCTCTCTCTCTCTCTCTCTCTTTCTCTCTCTCTCTGTGTGTGTGTGTGTGTGTGTGTGTGTGTGTGTGTGTCACTTAGGCTAGAATGCAATGGTCACAGGAGAGGAAGGGAGAAGGGGAACCGCAAGTTGGTGTAGGAGTCAGAACAAAATGAGGTTTGCCATCTAATATGGATGCAATTTGTGGCACCCCAAAACGGTTACAGTGGTAGCATCAAAGATCACTGATCACAGTTTACTACACAGGTATAATAATAATGAAAAAGTTTGAAATACTTTGAGAATTACCAAAATGTGACACAGATATGAAGTGAGCACATGGTGTTGAAAAAGTGGGGTGCCAATAGACTCGCTCAGTGCAGGGTTGCCCATCCTCCTTGAAGGCTTTTGATTGACGGTGTGACAGGGATCCTGAATGAATTGGTTTTCTAAATGGATGATTCTAAATGAATAGGTTTTTCCCTTAACCTACAACTGGTATATTCTTCAAAATTGGGAAGAATTAATGGTATTTCATTAGGTTCTACTCGTTATTTCTGTAGTTTCTGAGATTTTTCATCCTGGGACGGGAAGTAATTGGTCAGCCCTTCTTATTCTGTTCTGCCTGTTTCTGACAGGAATTCTTTAAACTTTTTGACTTGGGTGGATAGTACCCTTCCTAAGTATTACAGTCTGTGTAGACTGCTATAACCAAATGCCATAAAATAGGTAGCTTAAAAACAACAGAACTTTGTTTCTCATGTTTGTGGAGGTTGGGAAGTTCAGATCAAGGTATGGGGAGATTTTTATGTCTGACTGAATTCCTGATCCACAGACAATGCCTGCTCTCTGTGTTCTCACATGGATAAAGTTGGGATAAAATTCCTTTAGACCTCTTTTGTAAGGGCACTAATCCCATTTATCAGAGTTCTGCCCTCATGACCTAAAAAACTCCCAAAGGCCCACATTTTAACATCACCTTGGGGTTAAGATTTCAACATATGAAATTTAGACAGACACAAATATCAGACCATAGCATCAGTCCTATTACTGTTGTATATTTTCTCTTTTTGGTGTATTCTACTACTTAGTGAATATTGTGTGCCAGGCGTTGTATTGAGCACCTCATAGATATCTTGTTAATCTGTGTAATGATTCTGTGATACAAATATCATCCCTGTTATACAAATAATTAGAAACGGAGAGACTTGCTCAAAGTCACAAAGCTGTAGACAGCATAGCTAGGATTAATTTCACTTTTCTTAAAAGCTGTGGCCTTTAACTGTGGTTAAAAAACTAGAATTTCAGCCAGGAATAGTGGCTCTTGCCTGTAATCCCAACACTTCAGGAGGCCAAAGCAGTAGGAGTTTGAGAACAGCCTGAGCAACATAAGGAGATCCTGTCTCTGCGTTGTATATGTTACATATATATGAGCTATATGTGGTGGCATGCACCTGTAGTCCCAGCAACTTGAGAGGCTGAGGCAAGAGAGATGTCCTGAGCCCAAGAGGTCAAAGTTGCAATAAGTCATGATCATGCCAGTGTATTCCAGCCTGGGTAACAGAGTGAGATACTGTCTTTAAAAGAAGAATGTAGACCTTTAATTCACTTGTTGTTCAGAATACATTTCTTTAAAGCTACTGGCTTGAACTGATTTGATAGTAATTATTTATTTATTTATTTATTTTACAGATGGGGTTTCACCATGATGGTCAGGCTGGTCTTGAACTCCTGACCTCAGGTGATCCACCCATCTCGGCCTCCCAAAGTGCTAGGATTATAGGCGTGAGCCATGAGCCACCGCGCCTGGCCTGATAGTAATTTTTAGGTACTGTAACATTTAGTATTAGTGCAACACATATGTGACATGACATATACTATACTCCTGCTTTTTCTTTTTTGCTTTTAAGTAAACTAATGGATGACGGAGCTCTGGGAAGTAAACCTGTAGTAATTTCTTAACGTTTTTCAGGCCAGAAACCTTCATTGATTTTTGTTTGATACCCAACATCTATCAGCAAACCATAGTTCTACCTTCAAAATATACCTAGAATCTGACCACTTCTTATCAACCCCACTGCTACCACCCTAGTCCATTTCAGCACCGTTTCTCACTTGGATTATGATAGCTTCCATAACCATTTCTATACTTGGCTTCCCTTTAGTCTTCTTTTCAGCATTGCAGGTAGAATGATGTGGTTCATCACTGACAAATCACATCACTCCTCTTTTCCAAATCCACCAGTGAATTACTCTTTTACTCAATAAAAAGCTAAAGTCCTTAACACATTCCTTAGTTCTCGGAAGTGCTCTTTTTTTCATTTTTCCTTTTGAGACAGGATCTTGCTCTGTAACCTGGGCTGGAGTGCAGTGGCACAGTCTGTTCACTGCAGCTTCTGCCTGCTCTGCTGTGCTCAAGCGATCCTCCCACCTCAGCCTCTAGAGGAGCTGGGACTAGCTAGAGCAGCTGGGGCTACAGGCGTGTGGCCCTATGCTTGCTAGACTTTTTATTTTTATTTTTTTCTGGAAATGAGTTCTCAGTGTATTGCCCAGGCTATGAGAGTGCCTTTTAAAAATCTGCATGGAGGTGTTGTATGTCTTAGCAGCGACATACTCGAAGGATCCTCAAACATTGAAATATCCCTTTCTCAAAATGCTACCAATTAGGTATGTATTGTTTTCTATTAAATAGCTCCTGACATATTCAGTGTATTGATTGGTTTATTCTTTTTTGCCCTTCCCCCTGCTCTGACCCCCAAATCTCAGTTTTCTTTTCTGTGGGTCTCTTTGTAGCCAGTATGTCCTCTTATTATTATGTATTTATCATTATTGTGTATATTGTATATATTTTCACATTTCGTTGTAGTCGTCTATAACATATTTGACTCTGCAATTAGACTTTATGTTCTTATATTCTAAGGGATAGTGTTTGTGCCCAAAAAGTTTTTCTTGAAGGAGTGAGTGCATTTTCAGTTACAGTTTTAAGTGTCATTGTACCATCAGTAAGGATTTGGATTTGTATGCCAGTAAGAGAAAACTTGATAAACATTGATGTAAGCAAGTGAAGATTTACTTTCTCATGTACTGTAATGTGAAGTCCAGCGGAGGCAATCCAAGGCTGATGCAGCTGCTCAAGGATTTCATCCAGAAACCAGTATCCTTTCTTCCTAGCTTAAGGTTTTTTTTCTTCATAGTCAGAAGATGGCTGTTGTATCTCTGGACACTACATCAGAATTTTAGTAAGAAAGAAAAGGGAAGGATAAAAGGAAGTATCTTTTCACAAGGCCTTGCAATTTTGTCCTTGTAGATGGTAGCCCATTAGAAATTGATGCCTATATTTCATTGGCCAGAACGATGTCGTCTGGCAAATCTGAAGTACAGAATAGGCTGGGATTTTGAGTGTTCGTTTTTTATTCTCTATAGGAAAAGAAAAGAGAAGAAAATTGTGATTGGCATTTACCTCAAGTATCAAAAACTAGTATAGAACAAGTGGTTAACAACATAGACCTAAATTTGAATTTTGACTTTGTTACTTCTTAGCTGTGTGACTTTAACAGCTTTCTGCCTCTGTTCCCTCATCTATAAACTGTGTCTAGTAATAGGTAACTATTTCACTTTGTTATTGACACTGTTAGTTGATCTATGTTGTGGGTTTAATGTATATAGTTCGTTTTGTTTACATAGCTAATAAATTGTTATAATTATTGTCATCATTACCTACAAGCATTGTCGAAACTGGAATTGTATAAATTTATCACTCAAGGAATTGGCTTTCTTTGGGATAGGAAGAAAAGAGTATTTACCAGGTCTAGGTAGGTGCTTTTGAGCACAGGTAATGGTAGAAAACAGTGGTAGAACTTTCTTAAGGGCTCTGGTGAGTGCATTGTACTATTACAAATTATGGACAGTGTTAAAATATTGGAACCATTTTCATTTACTCATTGAGTTCATTTTGAAGCTCAGTGACCCTTAGGGTCATCTTCAACAAATTGTCATTTGTTCAACAGTGGCAACTTGTTGAAGATGACCCTAAAGTTTAGTTCAACAAACTAAATCCCCTGAAGTTTAGTTCAACAGAAATTTCATCTCTTATTGATAGAATATTTGAAGACTTTGCTCGAATATATATACAGTATATAAATATGATTTCATTATTATATTGAAATATGATTTCATTATTATTATTACTAGCCTTTTCCAGTTTGTAATCACTCTACTTTGAAAAATATATATCAATTATTTTTCTATTTTCTTTTTAGCCCCATCTGCTTTGATATGATTGAAGAAGCATACATGACAAAATGTGGCCATAGCTTTTGGTAAGACAATTTTATGGAGTAAAATAGTCTTTTGGCATTTTAAAACTTATCTGTAAATGTAGCCAATGAGAAGTTATGTGTTTTAAATGAACTTTGATTATCTTACTATCATATTTTTTTCTTGGCATGTCTTGTAGATCTGGCAGTTTAAGGCAGTTAACATACAGCTGCTGCATAATTTCTTTCAAAATATTTAGACTTACCGTAGGCCTTACCAATGGATTTGAAAACTTCTGCATTAATTAATGTTAATAAGAACCTTTGACTGCCATTCTTAGTGATGCTGGGCAATCAGGACCAACCATGAAGCATTAGTTACTTGTGGGAATAGGTTGGAGAATGCAGTGAAGCAGGCTAAGAGGGTCATGGAAAAAGGATAGAGGATTTAAAAGTTCTGTGTTCTTTTCTTTAACACTTTGCTCAGCATTATCTTTACATTATATCATGGCACATTAACCCATATGTTAAACAATTTTTTTAATTGTAGAATTCACATAATACTGAATTTATATTTTTTATGTATTTTTTTCTGGTTCCTTAGTCTTGGAGGAATATATAATTTTAACCACGGTTATGTGAACAGTGCAGCAGTGTTAAGTATGTTAATATTATTGTACAATTGATCTCTACAACTTTTTGTGCAAAACTGAAACTCTGCACTCATTATAACAGTAATTTCCCATTTCCCCTTCCCAGCAGCTCCTGGCAGCCACCATTCTACTTTCCGTTTCTATGGATTTAACTACTCTAGATACCTTGAATAAGTGGAAGTATTTGGCTTTTTGTGACTAGCTTATTTCACTTAGCATAAAGTCTTCAATGTTTATCAATGTTGTAGCGTGTCAGAATTTTTTTTCCTTTGTTAGGCTGAATAATTCTCCATTGTATGTATATGCTACATTTTGGTTATTCATCTATCAGTAGACACTAGGGTTGCTTCTTCTACCTTTTGGCTATCATAAATAATTTGCTGTGGATGTGGATATACAAACATCTCTTTTGGACTCTGCTTTCAGTTCTTTTGGGTGCATACTCAGAAGTGAAATTGCTGGATCATGTGGTAATTTTGTTTCTAATTTTTTGAGGAAACTTCATACTGTTTTCTACAGCCACTGCACTATTTTATGTTCTTACCAGCAGTGCATAAGAGTTCGAGTTTCTGGCCGGGCGCGGTGGCTCAAGCCTGTAATCCCAGCACTTTGGGAGGCCAAGGCGGGTGGATCACGAGGTCAAGAGTTCGAGACCATCCTGGTCAACATGGTGAAACCCCGTCTCTACTAAAAATACAAAAAATTAGCTGGGCATGGTGGTGCGTGCCTGTAATCCTAGCTACTCAGGAGGTTGAGGCAGGAGAATTGCCTGAGCCCAGGAGGCGGAGGTTGCGGTGAGCCGAGATCGCGCCATTGCACTCCAGCCTGGGTAACAAGAGCGAAACTCCGTCTCAAAAAAAAAAAAAAGAGTTCCAGTTTCTCCACATCCTTGCCAACTCTTATTTTCTGTTGTTTTTTGGTAGTAGGCATCCTAATGGATGTATAATCTGTGTATTTTTAATTATTTTTGCTTATTTTTTACCTACTCTGTTGGCATATTATTTTAGCCTTAGTATTCCTTGTGTTCTAATGCTCCGTATATTCTAATTCATGTTGAAATCAGGCCCATAATTTTATGCTAAAGTTGGATATGATATCTGGCAGATTGATACCCAATCATCATGAAGAGTATTGGGTATTAACACTAGTCTATAAGATCTTTCATTTCATCTGAAGCATGATGCTTTGGTGATAGATGTATTCCCTTTGCTAGTTACTTAAAAAGCTTTAAATAAACATCACTTTCTTAGCTTGTATTATCTATATTCTTTCTTTCAAAGTGTTAAAATCATAACAGCAATGCATATTTTTGCTTTAAAAAGCAACTCTTATTGTACAGGAAGGTGTAACATAAAATACAAATGTCTACCTTTATCTAGTCTTTCTTGCCTGCCTCTTCAGAGGTTATCACAAGTGAAAGAAGTGATTAGGTATTCTTTCAGAATCTTTTTACCAGTTTGTTTTAGGCCATCTTGTTTTCTCGAATCCTTCTTGTTTTCTAGTATATCATTGTATTGACATAATTATGATTCATGAATCACTTTCTGCTCTGTATTGCCAATGAAATTCTGGTCATGTGAGTCTTGCTTTGGGACTGATACAGGTGTGGTCTTACACCTGGTTATTAGATTTGGTGATTGGTTCTGATTTGTCCTAGCTGTTCTTGTTATACATTCTTTTTCTAGAATTTTCTGATTACTCACAGTTTTCTATATGTACTCAAACCTTGTTTACACAGATAGAAAAAGATATTTATATTGGTTAGCAAGTATATACATAGTAGAAGAAACAGACAACGATATACATCTATAGAGAAATATACTTTTTTTATTAGCAGATACATACTTAATAGAGAAAATAGGCACCCATTTATGTCAGCAGAATTAAAATTATTATTTTTAAGAGTTGCAGTGTTAGTAAATTTAAAATTTCTCAGGTGGACCCAAGATATGTATTCCAAGATAGCATTTACCACTTTATTATGCCCACCTATTGCTAAGTAACTGATCTAGATACTTAGATATATGTTGCTTTCCTGGCTCTATCTCTTCTTCCATGCATTCAACATGTACTGAGTTTAAATTCTTTTAACAGGATATTGTGCTAAACATTAAGGGTACAGAGGGTAAAACAAATCCTTGCATTTAATGACCAAATAGAAGGGCTGATAGGCACATACAGAGATAAGCACAAGATAAGATAGTAACTCTTTCTCAAACTAAGGCAGATCTGCTCTGGGTTGGTAGTTAAGTATTAGATGCTTTAAGATACATTTGATGCATCTTGTTGTCACTTAAGTTGTACACCGTGGTATGTAATTTGATGTACTTTAATTTTACAATATCAATCGATATTATCAAGTGCGATGCAGAAAAACCACTTGAACTATTGTACCGAGGATAGTTACTTCCAGCTATGTTCCAGTTTTTGAGTCTGTGAGAGATAGTGTGGTAGTAAGCCTATACAGGTAGAATATGATTAGGATGCTAAAGAAAATAAGATTTTCTACTAGATTTTGGAATAATTTCTTGTATATTGACAAAAAAAATTTTTTTTCTGTTTTCTGAGACTGAATGTTGCTCTGTCACCAGGCTGGAGTGCAGTGGTATGAGCACAGCTCACTGCAGCCTCGACCTCCTGGGCTCAAGCAATCCTCCTGGCCAAGCCACCTGAGTAGCTGGGATCACAGGCACACACTGCCACCATGCTTGGCTAATTTTAAAAATTTTTGTAGAGATGGGTTTTCACCATATTTCCTCGGCTGGTTGCAAACTCTTCGTCTCAGGCAGTCCTCCCACCTCAGCCTCCCAAAGTGCTGAGATTAAAGGCGTGAGCCATTGCACCCAGCCTAGCAAACTCCTCTCTGACTTAACAACTTAGCTTGTTGTTGTCATCTGCACATTTTCTATCATTTATTTTTAAACAAAAGTTATTTGCTAAAACCCGTAATTTTCTCCTTCTACTTATCTGTCAACCCATCTCTTAACTTTATTTATTTAATTTTTTTTTTCCTTTTTGAGATGGAGTCTCACTCTGTTACCCAGGCTGGAGTGCAATGGCATGATCTTGGCTCACTCCAACTTACATCCTTGGATTCAAGCACTTCTCCTGCCTTGGCCTACTGAGTACCTGGGACTAAAGGCATGCCAACATGCCTGCCTAATTTTTGTGTTGCCCAGACTGATCTCAAACTCCTGACCTCAAGTGATCTGCCCACCATGGCCTCCCGAAGTGCTGGGATTACAGGTGTGAGCCACCGTACCTGGCCTTATTATTATTAGTTTTTTTTTTGAGACAGAATCTTACCGTCTAGCCTAGGCAGGAGTGTAGTGGCACAATCTCAGCTTGCTGTTAACCTCTGCCTCCCAGGTTCAAGTAATTCCACTGCCTTAGCCTCCTCAGTAGCTGGGATTACAGGTGCCTGCCACTATGCCGAGCTAATTTTTGTGTTTTTTATAGAGATGGAGTTTCACCATTTTGACCAGGCTGGTCTTGAATTCTTTTATTTATTTATTTATTTATTTGTTTCTTTGTCTCACTCTGTTGCCCAAGCTGGAGTGCAATGGCGCGATCTCGGCTCACCGCAACCTCCGCCTCCCGGGTTCAGGCAATTCTTCTGCCTCAGCCTCCTGAGTAGCTGGGATTACAGGCACGCACCACCATGCCCAGCTAATTTTTTGTATTTTTAGTAGAGACGGGGTTTCACCATGTTGACCAGGATGGTCGCGATCTCTTGACCTCGTGATCCACCCGCCTCGGACTCCCAAAGTGCTGGGATTACAGGCGTGAGCCACCGCACCCAGCCTTGGTCTTGAATTCATAACCTCAAGTGATCCGCCCACCTTGGCCTCTCAAAGTGCTGGGATTACTGGTGTGAGCAGATGCACCCAGCCCAGCATGTCGCTTATCTTTAATAACCTTTGACAGTCTTTCCTTCATGATTTGTTTTGTTAAACTTTCTGGTGTTTTTTGTTGTTGTTGTTTTTTTGAGACAGTCTCACTCTGCCTCTCAGGCTGTAGTGTAGTGATGCAATCTCTACCCACTGCACACTAAGCCTCCCAAGTAGCTGGAACCACAGGCCACACAGCACCAGACACAGCTAATTTTTGTATTTTACTTATTGTATTATTATTTTTTTTTTTTGTAGAGACAGGGTTTTGCCATATTGCCCAGGCTGCTGATTAAAAAAAGAGTTAAATTTTGCATGTATATTTCCTAGTAATGTTAACTCATTTCCTTTTTTTTTTTAAGAAGACTGTAAATTTCTTCATGTTGTGATTCTTAGTCTATTGTATTTGCATGCCTACATTATACTTCTTTCTTGTAATAAAAATGAAAATAAAACATTTAGTATGTCATTTCCTTCAGTGAAATTTCCATGTGGGAATTTTCAGTCACATATAAGGCATATTTTGTGATTATGGTAATCCTAGCCTCGTCATAGTTGCAAGAGGTGATTATATTGTTTTTGGAACATTGTGCAAGTCATTTGTTCAGTAGATATTTGCGTATTCATTATGTGCCTGGCATTTGCTTCAGTCTTTAGTCCCCTGTGATTTGCCAAAGACCACTGTTACTTTGATTTTTCACACCTTCCTCCTTTTTACTTATCTTGAAAGTAACAAATGTGAGATGTGAAAGTAGTTAGTTGATAACCATAAAGGCAAAACCTGGTGGATGTAGGTTTTTATATTTTTGTTTGTTTTATTTAGTATTTTGTTAAGGTGGTGAGGAAAGGTAAGTGGATATAAAAATCAGCTTCCGTTTACAAAGTTTAAGTAAATTTATAGTAATTTGGTTACAGAATAAAAGAGTTGCTTTCTCTGTAGGAAGGATCTTTATAAATCACCTTTGTAATATCTTAGAAATCATTTTTTTCCTGAGTTTTAGCAATACTTATTCAGTATAGAAACTTGAATTAAAGACATCTACAAAGAAAACATTTCCCCTAATTATATGACCCAGAGACAAATACTGTTAGCATTGTGAGGATTCTCTTTATTGTTTATTTTAAATGTATACATATATACTTTTTTAAAGAGAAATGGGATTATATTGTATACACTATGTTATAGATTGTCATTTTTACTCAGCAGTGTGTATAGTGACATTTTTTTTCTCATATCAGTTTGATACTTTTCTATAATTTGGTTGAAAAATAATTCAAGGAGTTTTTTTTTTATTGTAAGGAGGTACACAAATGTAAAAGGTTTAACATTATATAAATATATAATGAAAGGGAAAATTTTCTGTAATCACACCTCTCCAGCATTAACTATGAGTAGATTGTTTATATGGCATACAAATTACAATATAATTTTTATTGGATTACTGTATAGCATTGCATTGGATTGATACAAATTTATTTAGTCAATTTCTTAGTGTTTAGGTTGTTTCTATTTTATTTTGCTATTTACAGATAACCTTGTATTAAACACCCATCTAAATATATATATTCTTAGGATGAATTCCTAGAAGTAAAATCAAGTCAAAAGGGAATGTAAAACCTTAAGATTTTCCCTGCAATTTGCCTTCTAGGAAAGTTGTGCTGGTTAACATTTTCTGTAACAGTACCTGTGGTTGTTCATATTCACATGTACTCTTTAACTATGACAGTATTTTCTTTTGTCTTTTTTTCTTTTTTCAGACAGGGTGTCACTCTGTCACTCAGCCTGGAGTGCACTGGCATAATCATGGCTCACTGCAGCCCTGAACTCCTGGGCTCAGGTGTTCCTCCTGTCTCAGCCTCCCAAGTAGCTGCACATGCCATCATACTTGGCTAATTTTTTCATTTTCTGTAGTAATGTGGTCTTGCTATGTTTCCAGGCTGGTCTTGAACTCTTGGTCTCAAGTGATCTTCCTGCCTCTGCCTCCTAAAGTGTTGGAATTATAGGCGTGAGCTGTTTTACCTTACTGGCAGTATTTTATTTTTACATTCTGATTGATAAAATCTAGCATATGATTTTAAATGAGCTTTTTGTGACTAGTGAAGATAATGGTTTTCTCATGCTTATTGAGTAATTTTTGTCTTTGGTTGAGTTCTCTGTTTCTCTTTTTTATTTGAATAAACTCTGAGTATTAAGGGTATTAGCATGTCAATAATATGAATAGTCTGTTTGCTTAACTGAGCTGTAGGTATTTGCTTTTCTGGTGTTGTTATGAACTACTTAAATTGCATAAACTTAAAGTTTAGTGAGCACAGCTTTTTAAATTTGTATCCAGTAGCCTTGTTATTTGAGTTTATTTTGAAATAACTTTTGTGTACTGTTCACCCAGTAAGTGCCCTGTATATCCTGTTGATAATGTAAAAATACAAACAGAAATAAATTTGTTAGATTACTTATGCTGAAAATGAAGAATAGAAGACTAATAGTCATTATTTTGTGACTAGTTTATTAATTTTTCATTGATTTAATTAAGCCTTTTTTTTCCCCCCCTACTAATAGCTACAAGTGTATTCATCAGAGTTTGGAGGACAATAATAGATGTCCAAAGTGTAACTATGTTGTGGACAATATTGACCATCTGTATCCTAATTTCTTGGGTGAGTTTTTGGAATGATTTTTATTTTAAAAAATGTTTTGATCCCCAAAATTGTGTGCTAGCACTAATTTATTCAAAACCCTACCTTAGTGGTAAGCAAGTCTCTCTCTACTACATACTGCAGTGCTTTCCTCTTCTTGGGTTGTGACATAGATTCTATATATTGTTAGTATTTTTTAAGTTTTATTGAAGAAACTGATGCAACTTTTAGATTATTATGTAGCTCAGGGACCACTTGGCCATGGACAGGTACCAGTCTGTGGCCTTTTAGGAACTAGACTACACAGCAGGAGGTGAGTGACTGGCAGGTGAGTGGGCATTACCACCTGAGCTCTGTCTCCCATCAGATTAGTGGGGGCATTAGATTCACATAGGCGTATGAAGCTGATTGTGAACTGCGTATGTAAGGGATCTAGGTTGCATACTCCTTATGAGAATCTGATGCCTGATGATCTGAGCGGGTACAGTTTCATCCTGAAACCATCCCTCCCACCTGCCTTCGGTCTGGAAGAATTGTTTTCCATGAAACCAGTCCCTGGTGCCAAAAAGGTTGGGGACTGCTGATGTAGATGACAGGACTGGATGTGAGGCTTAACAAAAATGGCAGCGGTTCTGAACACCATGAGGTCTCCCTGTGAAGTGTTGTACATCCCTACTGTTTCTGCTTTGGGGGCAGAAGTAAAAAAGCCCATAGGGAGAGGGAACCCAGGTTTGTTGAAGATTGAGGGGAGGGGACAAAAGAACTTGGGTGTGATTATTCCTAAGATGGGAGTGAGTGGATGAAAGGAATCTGAACTAGGGAGGCAATTAAAAATTAAGGACTTGGGAAAGAATACATGGACTAGAACTTTTGAGAGAGGAGTGCTAAGAACTAGAGAAGAGAAACATGAATAGGGAATCCTTAAGTATAAATAATAAATCAGAAATAATAACTAGTCAGCCAATTGTGAATATCATAAAAATTCCGCATGTTAACTATCTTAAGATATTGTAGGAAACTTTTAGTCTGAGTGTTTTAGGAATGAATAATAAGCTAAAGATTAATTTTCAGGTATGGGTAGGCACTAAGTAGGACACTGTTGGGTTTGTATATCAAAAAGGTCAATTCTTCATTTTAAAGACTCAGAGTTAGAGTGTGGTGAGTACTTTTGTATTAGATTCTGACCTGCTAGTACTTTGGTGGCAGTTTGATTTTTAGCTCAAGTCGTGTTTTATAATAAGTTATGAATTTGAACGTATTCAGCTATGGTTTTCTTTTTTATTTCTGCTCTGAAAGTGCCTTAGCTACAATTGCTTTTTCTCTGTTACTCTTCACTATAATTTTTTTTATTAAGGAAAATCACTGGATGATTACATAGCAGAAAGGGGTGCTAAGGGAATTATACTGAAGATTTTCTGCTGGAATGACAAATTCTTCTAAGTGGCTAAAGTTTTATGGCAAACGTGGTGAAGGAACTTAGGAAAAGAACAAAGAGAACTATTGAGTGGCATGGCACCTTGCAGGACTAAATGGGAACCCATGTCCTGTAGTACAAAATCCTTTGTCCCTGAGCTTGTCAATTTGGATTGATGCTGCCCTGTGGAATCTAGGATCACTCAAGATCGCTATGATTTTTCCTTTGTCATAACTTTGGAAAACTACTTATTCTTTTGGAGTGGTTAAACATAGAAAGGAATCTGATGTTCTGAAAATTTTGGTATTTACTAACTTTTTCAGGCAACAGTCCTTAGTTCACAAGTTTGAAATTCTGTTTTATGAGTTTCTAAATAGTGAGAGTTATATATTAGTGTGGAAAGAATATAAAAATGTACTACTGTTGGGCCGGGCGCAGTGGCTCACGCCTGTAATCCCAGCACTTTGGGAGGCCGAGGCGGGTGGATCACGAGGTCAAGAGATCGAGGCCATCCTGGCCAACATGGTGAAACCCCGTCTCTACTAAAAAAATGCAAAAAATTAGCAGAGCATGGTAGCGCATGCCTGTAATCCCAGCTACTCAGGAGGCTGAGGCCGGAGAATTGCCTGAACCCAGGAGGCGGAGGTTGCGGTGAGCCGAGATCGCGCCATTGCACTCCAGCCTGGGTAACAAGAGCAAAACTCCATCTCAAAAAAAAAAAAAAAAAAAAAAAAAAAGTACTACTGTTTAAGCTGGAAAGTGATCCCCTACGTTATATATATTCTCTTTCTTTTTGAGACAGAGAGTCTCGCTCTGTTGCCCAGGCTAGAGTGCAATGGTGTGATCTCGGCTCACTGCAGCCTCCTCCTCCCAGGTTCAAGCGATTCTTCTGCCTCAGCTACCCAGGTCGCTGGAGTCACAGGTGTGTGCCACTACACCTGGCTAATTTTTGTATTTTTAGTAGAGTGGAGACTATGTTGGCCAGGCTGGTCTTGAACTCCTGGCCTCAAGTGATCCTCCTCCTGCCTCAGCCTCCCAAAGTCCTGGGATTATAGGTGTGATTCATCGTGCCCAGACTTACATATTCTCAGGTATATGTACCTAATGAACAGTGAAGTTACATTTACTGATTTTTTTTTTCTTAAGACAGCCTCTCTGTCACCTGCTGAAGCTCAGTGGTGCAATCATGGCTCACTGCAGCCTTGATCTCCCTGGTTCAAGTGATCCTCCTACCTCAGCCTTCCAGGTAGCTGGGACTATAGGCATGCACCACCATACCCAGCTATTTTTGTTTATTTTTGTAGAAACAAGGAAGGTCTCACTGTTTTTTCCAGGCTGGTCTCAAACTCCTGGGCTCCAGTTATCCTCCTGCCTGAGCTTGCCAAAGTGTTACAGTCACAGGTTTGAGCCATTGTACCTGGCCCAATTACTATTTTTTTTGAGATGGAGTCTCACCCTGCCACGAAGGCCGGAGTTCTATGGTGTGATCTCAGCCCACTGCAACCTCTGCCTCCCGGGTTCAAATGATTCTCCTGCCTCAGCCTCCCAAGTTTAGCTAGGATTACAGTGCACACCACCACACCTGGCCAATTTTTTGTATTTTTAGTAGAGATGGGGTTTCACCACGTTGGCCAGACAGGTCTGGAACTCCTAACCTCATGATCCATCAGCTTTGACCTCCCAAAATGCTGCGATTAGAGACCTGAGCCACGTGACCGGCCCAATTACTGATTTTTTTAAGCTAGAAATTATCTTGACAGTGACCTCTAGTGCATCTTTCAATGTGATTATATTGTCAGCCGTGGAAATAACATTTCATCCTGATACATCTGTTTGTGTTTTTCTGCTGATTACCTCTTCTAGCCTTGGCCTTTGTTCAGTGATAGCCAAATACTAAGGTTCTTACACTAGGTATGTAGAGACTGTCTTCTGTTGGCTCAGAGGAATGTCATTGAGATCTGTTGATCCATGTGTTCCTGAAAGAAGAATACCACTTGTCTTTTTCTATACTTAAAAAGTCTTCTAAGTTATTTTCATTGCTTTACCTTAAGTTGGCATGATTTGCATAATGGCTACAGTTTCTAATTAGGTTAAGAAGACATTGAGCCTTTTTAAATGATTTCAGTTTTCCTCTTAGTCTGGTAAAGTAATTGGTCATATGTTATATGATTTGGAGATGTTCTTGGCATCCTTGCACCTACTTAATTGATACGTTAAGACCTTTCACGTCTAATGGGTAGTCATAGGTAGAGGGCTGGTCCACACAATTTATGTCTTAGCAGTGCTCTTTAAACCGTTTTGCTTGTGTAACTCATATGGGAAATTTGAAAAGTGATGATCCTCGCATATCTTTAAGTTTGTATTAAAATTTTTTCTTCATAATTTTAAGTGATTGTAAAGAATAGAATTTAGGCCAGGTGCAGTTGCTCCAACCTGTAATCCTAATACTTTGGAAGGCTGAAGCAGGAGGATCACGTGAGGCCATAAGTTTGAGACTGACCTGGGCAATATAGCGAGATCTTGTCTCTACAAAAAGTTAGCCAGGTGTGTTCGTATGCAACTATTTTCCAACCTTCTCGGGAGGCTAAGGTGAGAGGATCATGTGAACCTGAGGATTTTGAGGCTGTAATGAGCTATGATTGTACCACTCCACCCCAGGTTGGGCAAGAAAGCAGAGACCTGGTCTCAAAAATAAGTAAATAAAATTTAGAAAAGAATGTAATTTCTAAAGTATTATGAATATGGTTACTTCAAAACTGTTTTATCTCCTTTTAAAATGTAACCAGTGGAATCTAAATGTCATAGTGTTTTGTTACTTAATATCATTGGTTTAAAAATATATAAGTAAGCTTTTTATTCAATACCAGAAATTTCATTCATTCCCTTTTTTTGTGAACTTCTATTTAAATTTCATGTCACATATATAGTTTTATCCTTATAACCTATTACCATGGTTGAAATTCCAATTGATGTGCTTGTGATACTTTTCTATAACAAAATGGTATATACTGGCATGCTTTTATTGCCCTTTGTTTTATTGCGCTTTACAGAAATTGCATATATATATATATTTATTTTTTTAAACAAACCGAAGGTTTGTGGCAAACCTGCTTTAAGTCTCTTGATGCCATTTTTCCAACACCATATGCTCACTTCATATCTCTGTGTGCTCAGAAGAATGTCACTGAGATATTTTAGCCAAGTTGTGAATGCAAAGGAAAAGTTCTTGAAGGAAAGTAAAAGTGCTACTCTAATGAACACATGAATGATCAGAAGGCTAAATCACTTATTGCTCATATGGAGACAGTTTTAGTAGTCTGGATAGATACCAGCCACAACATTTCCTTAAGCCAAAGTCTTATCCAGAACAAGACCCTAACACTCTTAAATTCTGTGAAGGCTGAGAGAGGTGAGAAAGCTGCAGAAGAAAAGTTTGAAGGTAATGGAAGTCGATTCAAGAGATTTAAGGAAAAAAGCCATCTCCATAACATAGAAGTACAAGGTGAAGCAGCAAGTGCTGATGTAGAAGCTGTAGCAAGTTATCCAGAAGATCTAGCTAAGTAAAATCATTTTTGAAGGTGGTTATAGTAAATGACAGATTTTCATT